GATGGGGCGGCCGAGTGAGTCGCCCGCTCTCCTTCTAGTGTGATGATGAAATCCAGTCGCCGAAACGCACGCGTGCGCCGGGCCTGTGATTGCGTGGGTGGTCATCCGAGACTGGTTTGGAACGCGCAAAGCCCCTACTGGCGCGCGCTAACCGCCGGTGTTTCGTACAAGCACCGGCAAGTGAATTTATAGTAATGCGCGTTAGGCTCGGATGGTGCGCTAAAGGACACAGATTTATCTTTGGTTCGGGCGAAACGTCCCTACGCCCGGTTTGTTGTTTGCTTGTGTTATTAGCACCGTAACGATCTGTAGTAAGGGATACAAAGCGTCGAGAGAGGGACTGGTCCCAAGTCTCTGATCGAAGATTTGAAAGGTGGTCAAGAGCTTCGTCGCCGCTTGAATGTGTGTGAGTGCGTTCTATTGTTTTGTCCTCCTTTTCTTCCGTCCCCTTTGATGGAAGAAGCGCATCCCTTTTATAGACGAAGGGCCGGCTTTACAAGGGTAAGAGCTCTAGGACGCGTACTCTACTTAGTCTTGTGGCTCACGCTCACTGGTCGGTCCTCCACTCACGATGAGTGCGAAGGAAGATAAGTGTTTACAATGTTGTCGATGTCTCTGTAGGATGTCGTTAGTCACGTAATGCTGCCTCGCTGCAGGTATGGGCTGCAAGATGTTGGTTTTGACTTATGAGCTCTCCGCCAGCCTTGCTCCGCACGCCTTCAGGTTCTCATGAGTCCTCGTTGGGAGAATGCGGGGTCGGGGTCCGGTGTAACGCCGTGGTCAAGGCCTTCTGACTGGGAGGACTGAGGGTCGGAAGCGGGCGCCGCTCCTCGGGTCCACCGTGTGGTGACGGAATACCCATCGTTCATGGAGATAGCAAATCCTTTCCGGAGCGTAGCGGTTGTCGATATCTTCGTCCGGGTTCCGTGTCCCAGAGCCAAGGCGGCGCCTACAACTCTGAGGTGAGGTGCACGCACTGTAATACCTTTTTGGGCTCTGCGCGCGCCGGAAGGGTCTAAAGCTTCAGTCCTGCGTTCCTCGGCAGGTCCTTTTCTGCCAGTAGCGCAGGTATGGTCGTTGGAGCCATGGTTGACCCGAACGTCTTGTCTCGTCCTGTACCCATTATTATGAGGGATAGATATCGATCAGGGCGAGGCTCGTTCTGGGCCGTCGGGTGAGGCTGACCCTGCCCCTCCGGGGTCGGGCGAGACGGAATCCATCCCTCAGCCCTCGGGCGAGACCGAGCCCGCCCTCAAGGCGTCGGGCGAGGCGGAGTTTATCCCTCGGCCCTCGGGCGGGACCGAGCCCGCCCTATAGGCATCGGGCGAGACTGAGATTAGCCTTGAGCTTTTGGGGTGAGGCGGGGTTATCCTACAAAGGTGTCGGGTAGGGTGACCCCCCCCCCTCCGGTCAGGGCGAGACGGAATTCATCCTCACCCTCTGGGAGACCGAGCCCGCCCTCAAGGCGTCAGGGCGTGGCGGAACCGAACTCCTGTTACTCGAATAAGGGATGACATGGAGCCCTTATGCATCTAGAAGTTTTTCACGTTCGGTGGTCATCGGTTCCACCTTCTGGGGTACCCTGGTATTAGATCCCCGACAAGCAATATGTCCCGAATGGAGTGGTGAAACTTGTCTTGTCTTCATCTTCTTTTTTCATTCAGATTTGGTGATACCTAGAGAAACAGTCGAGGAGAGAAAACCTCTGGCATCTGGCTGCCTTGTCGACGGAGCCATCTATTCTTGGCAATGGGAAAGGGTCTTTTTTGCAAGCTTTATTCAGATCTATGAAATCTATGCACATTCTCATTTTGCCATTCTTCTTGGTATCGATTTTCGTTTGCAAGCCATTCTGAATACTTGACTTCCCTGATGACTTTTGCATCTAGCAACCTTTGCACCTCCGCCTTTACTGCTAGGATCCTGTCCTCCGACATTTTTCTCTGTTTCTGCTTTCTTGGCCTCATGTTTTCATTGATATCCAGTTCATGCTGTATGATGTCCCTGCTGACTCACTGTAGGTCGGAGGCTGACCAGGCGAAGATGTCTTTGTTTTTTACTAGAGCTTCTATGAGCTCTTCCTCCTCTGCTTTGCTCAACTCTGAGCTGATTGTTACTTTTCTATCTGGTAACTCCTTTTCTAGAGGGGTCACCTTTGTCTCTTCTTGACCTACCATATCTGTTTTTCCTCTGGGCATATCTAGAGGCTCTAGTTCTTTGTCTGCCGACTCGACTGCATTGATGTTTCTTTGGGCTTTGTAGATTGCTTTTTCTATGTTTCTTGCTTCTTTCTGGCTGCCTCGGACTGTGATAATACCATGGAGTGCTGGTTTTTTATGCACGGGTAGGCCATATGTAGGGCTGCGTTGAATTTAGTCATGAATCCTCTGCCCAAGATGGCATTGTATGGGTAATACAGATCGACGACGTCGAAGGTTATGTACTCAGTTCTAGCATTTGCTTGGGTTCCAAACGACACTAGGAGTGAGATTTTTCCTAATGCTTGTATCTACTTGCCTCCGAATCCTATCAAAGGGGATTCGGAGGGCTATAGTTGATTTCTACTGAGCTTCATTTGGTCGAAGGTATTTGCGAAGATGATATCTGCTGAACTGCCAGTGTCAATCAGTACTCTGCTTATCTCCCATGCTGCTATGTTGGTCTTGATTACCATTGCGTCTGCGTGAGGGTAGCTTTCTAGCTGGAGATCTTCTTCTGTGAAGGTGATTGGGACTCTGGACCAATCTGTGTATTTTGCTGGGCCTTGGACTGCTACGTTGTTTACCAGGCGGAGGTGATCCTTTTTCTGCTTTTTCGTTTGAAACTCCATTGATGATCCTCCGGCGATTGGTAGTATCATGCCTATTGTTGGTAGCGGTCCATGGGGGTTGACTTGGTTTTCTGGGTTTGGCTCATTTTTTGGTGCTGGTGGTTGGTTGTGAGGTGGCGGTGGAGGCAGTTGCTGCATGTGGTGCTGTTGCGGCGGAGGCTCGAACCTGATTTGGTTTTGTGCCGGTGGGTTTGTTTCGAGGTAGGTTATGTGGGGAGGTTTTGGGTTTATGTAGGTCAGGCTTGCCTCCGACCTGTAGTTACCCGCCGGAGGCTGCTGCGAAGGCGCTGACCGCCATGCTGGTAGGAAGTTTGGGTAATAGGCAGAGGCCAGTGTGGAGGGATGTATTTGGGTTGCGTTTAGCGCTGGGTACATTGGGCAGTACTGCTGGTGGCCAGTTGTGTAGGTGGTGTTGACCTCTCTTGCGCTTTGATGTGTCGGAGGTTGGGCAGTCTGCTTGTTCTTCGTCCTGACAATCGTGGTCAATTCACCAACTGCGATTCCCCGGATGAAAATTGCGAAAAAGAACATGTCAGTCCATCACTCCATCCTTCGGAATATGTCGTGCGTTCACATTCACAACTTGCATAGTTGCATTGTGTGTTCTATCAATATACTAGGATATATTAACACCACTCTACCTTCTTTATATGTAGATGCATGGATCGATAGAGAGTATAGACAGACTACTGCCAACAATAATATCAGCAACCAGATATCACGCAAACCACCCAACGAACTAGACAAAAACTCCACATATCATGAGAGACATGGTGAAGCTCTCACGGCTTCTGCTCGGCCTTCCGGCCGTGTGGATGCTCGCCGCCGCCGCTGCAGCGGCGGACGACGTCCCGGCTGCACGGGGTCCTGGCTGCGCAACAAGGTGCGGGGACATCGACGTCCCGTACCCGTTCGGCCTAGACCCGCAGTGCGCGATCCACGCCGGCTTTCAGCTCAATTGCACCACCGTCGGCCGCACAACCAAGCTCTTCCACAATAACCTGGAGGTGATCAAGCTCTCGGTGCAGGATGGCAAGGCCTGGCTCAAGACTTGGATCTCTCGGGAGTGCTACAACCAAACCACCAGCGGGATGTTGTACGGCAACTACGCGTGGATGAACATCACTGGCTCGCCCTATGTGCTTTCGGCAGACGATAACAAAATCATCGTCCTCGGGTGTAACAGTTTCGCCTACATGCGCAGTGACTCCGTAAGTATTGCTGATGACGTTCTGCCACTCTCCGATCCTGTCCACATATATATGAAATTATGAATGAACTCGCAGCAAGCTGATCGACATATAGCACCGCTGTGCAACACTTGCAGTACATCATCGGCTGCTTGGCGACATGCGACGTCAACATACCACCCAAGAACGGCTCATGCTCTGGTACTGCTGGTGTTGGGTGCTACCAGGTGGACCTCCCGAAGGGCGTGCGGGTTTACCAAGGCTTTTTCAACTCGTTATACAACACGACTGCGATATGGAGGAACACCCCTTGCAATTATGTGACTGTCATGGAGAGAGCAGCCTTCAGCTTCAGCACCACTTATCTCACCTCTTCAGTGTTCTACGACAGAGACGACTCGAGGTCTCCTGTCGTGATGGAATGGGGGATTACGCAGAAGACATGTGAAGCTGCCAAAATTGACAAGAATGTGCCCTACGCGTGTGTTAGCAACTATAGCGAGTGTATCACGAATGATGCAGGCTATCTATGCAAGTGCTCCAGGGGATTCAAAGGCAATCCATACATCGCAGGCGGATGCACAGGTTCCACTTCAGCTCCATTATTATTCTTTTATTATCCAGATGTTGTTCTTTTATTTCAAGTGCTCACGCAGAGATTTTTACAAAGCATTTTGGTGCGGTTTCAGACATTGATGAGTGCCAGGACAAGGTTACTTACCCTTGCGCTGGAATATGCAAAAATACAGTGGGGGTTATAATTGTTCATGCTCGCCGGGAAAAAGTTTGATCAATGGCGTTTGCGAAAAAAAGCAGAAGTCAGTTTGGATGGCGCCAGTTGTTGGTAGGTTTCGAGGAAGTTTGCATGCACTTTTTTTTTATGTCCCCTGCATTCACCTCTGATGGGATCTGGCATTTTTATTTAGTGCTGACTGCTGACCAAGGGTAAGCCAAAGTGATCATTTTGAATAATTATGCAGGTGGAAGTGTTGGACTTGTCGTTCTTGTGATTGCCATTACTTGTACATATTTGATCCGAGAAAGGCGAAAGCTACACCGGATCAAACAGATGTATTTTCGACAACATGGTGGTCTGCTGCTATTTGAGGAGATGAAATCACAACAGGGTGTAGCATTCAAAATCTTCTCCGAAGAAGAACTACAACAAGCCACAAACAGGTTTGATGAACAGCATGTCATTGGTCATGGAGGCCATGGAAAAGTCTATAAGGGAGTTTTGAAGAGCGATGCTGAAGTAGCCGTGAAGAGATGTATGACAATCGATGAGCAACAAAGGAAAGAATTCGGCAAGGAAATGCTAATCCTATCCCAAATCAATCACAAGAACATTGTCAAGATCCTCGGCTGCTGCCTTGAAGTTGAAGTGCCCATGCTAGTATACGAGTTCATCCCAAATGGTACTCTGTTCGATCTCATCCATGGAAACCATGGCAAACACATCTCCTTGGGCACTCGCTTGAGGATTGCCTATGAGTCTGCAGAGGCCTTAGCTTACCTCCATTCATGTGCATCTCCACCAATCATCCATGGTGATGTCAAATCGACCAACATCCTCCTGGATGGTGACTACACAGCAAAAGTCTCCGACTTTGGTGCATCCATCCTAGCGCCAAATGATAAATCACAATTTGCTACACTTGTCCAAGGAACTTGTGGGTACCTGGACCCGGAGTACATGCAAACATGCCAATTGACAGACAAGAGTGATGTGTATAGCTTTGGAGTTGTTCTCCTAGAGTTGCTCACACGCAAGAAGGCATTCAACCTTGAAGGGCCTGAGCATGAGAAGAGCCTATCGATGAGGTTTCTATATGCGATGAAGGAAAACAAGCTTGAGAATATCCTGGATGATCAAATCAAGAACAATGGCAACATGGACTATCTCGAGGAGATTGCAAAGTTAGCGTGGCGGTGCTTGGAGATGAGTGGTTTGAATAGGCCATCAATGAAGGAGGTGGCAGATAAGCTTGATAGGTTAAGGAAGGTCATTCAACACCCATGGGCACATGAGAATTCTGAAGAGTTGGACAGCTTGCTTGGAGAGCCTCCCTCTATGGTCAGCTCGGCAGTTACTACAGAGTCCTTCAGCATTGCAAAGAAAATCGCTATGGGCTTAGAGTCAGGGCGCTAGTCATTGTAAAGTTTACATGGTTGGTAGTTTATGCTCTTGTAAGATAAGCATGTTACAAGGTGAACAATGTGCACAACAAAATGGCTGGTTAACCATGGTCCATAGCATGTAAATAGGATAGCTTAATCCTTTATAAAAACAGAAGGAAAAGGACTATAGCAACAAGGGGGTTAAGTCCAAAGTCCATCAAACAAAGTGTTTTTTTTCTCTATGATTGAATTCAGACCAAAAAGTCCAGAGTCCAAACATAATTTTTTTTGAAATCAATGGTCAAAGATATACAAATATTTGAATTATGGAAAAAATCTACTCCACCCCTCAACTATGGGGGTGGTCTACATAACCCCCTCAACTATGGGGGTGGTCTACATAACCCCCTCAATTATGAAACGGTCTGATTTACCCCCTGAACTTTCCAAAACCGTCTATTTTACCCCCCAGGTGGTTTTCAGCGGCGGTTTGGCTACAGTAACGACGGGTTGCTACAGTGGCATGGGTTTTGTCTTTTTCTTATTTCTGCTGAATCTTTGAAAAATCATAGTAAATCACAGAAAAATCATAAAATGGAAAATCTAATTTTGTTGGACTCCACATGAGTAGATCTACACAGTGAACATATAATATGGTACACTTTAGCACAAAACTTTTACTATAGATTTATATTAATTAGAAAATCTAATTTTGTCTGTAATTAATTGGAATTTATCTATAACTAAGTTATACATGGTCCAATGAGTACGAATTTTTTACTATAGTTTAAGCATATAATAATTAACCTACCATAAAAATTTCACCACAATTGTACCATAGAAGCTGCAACTATGAATTATTCTAATTAATTACAGACAAAATTGGATTTTCCAATTAATCTAAAGTTACAGCAAAAACTTTGTCCTAAAGCATACTATATTATATGTTCACTGTGTAGATCTACTCATGTGGAGTCCAACAAAATTAGATTTTTCATTTTATGATTTTTTTGTGATTTACTATGATTTTTCAAAGATTCAGCGGAAATAAGAAAAAAAGACAAAACCCCTGCCACTGTAGCAACCCGCAGTTACTGTAGCAAAACCGCCGCTGAAAACCGCCTGGGGGTAAAATAGACGGTTTTGAAAAGTTCAGAGGGTAAATCGGACCGTTTCATAGTTGAGGGGTTATGTAGACCACCCCCATAGTTAGGGGTGGATTAGACTTTTTTCTTTGAATTATCTATATGGCTCAAGCTAAGACATGGCTTAGAGGGGCCAAGGAAATAGGAACGTGAGCAACTGAGCAAGCAGAGGTGAGAGGGAGAGCGAGCAAAGATTCTTCTTTGAGTTTTCAGAGCTGATGTTCTATTTTGTGTGTTTTGCACATCAATAGCTTCCTTTCCCCCGAAACGGAACTTCGCTTATTCCTTTTTTTTTCCTGGACGTGATTCCTTTGGTCCTTCCGAGATGCGGGGCCTGAAATTTCTTCCGTTCCTCTCGAGTCTCAACGCCATTCTCCGCTCTCTCGTGAACCTGTCTGAATTTCGGCCCGGGGTCCAGCAAGGTCATATAGCCCACCCCATATGCAGCTTTTCGCTGTCCAGGTGAGGCCCATACCAAGCCCAGCCGACGCTCCCGCGCCTCATCCTTAGACCATGACGGCAATTATCACTACCCAGTACTCCGTACCAGGCAGCTTTTTCCTGGACGCCGTCGCTGCCAATCCCTCGCCCAACGAATTCGTCAAGCGGTCGCGGTCACGAGTCGCTTTGCTGTCCCTTCCAGGGGCACGGCACCGGCCCCGCGCGCCGATCCACCACGCACCGCTCGAAAGTTGTCCGCCGCGGCACGGCCTGTCGCTGCGCTGGGCGTCAACCGGTCGCTCCCGGCTCACCCCGGGATCGCAGGAGTAGTAGTAGGCTACTGCTGCGCCGCACTTCGAGCTGGCAGGCCTAGTGGCCTAGCACGCGCGCGCTGGCCCCGGCTCCGGCCGCCCGCGCCCGTGGCGTTTAGCGCCAGATTTTTATCTGGGGCCAGTTTAGATGCAAAATTTTTTGCAAAATGAGCATTGTAGTATTTTTGTTGTTATTTGGTAATTAGTGTCCAATCATAGTCTAATTAGGCTTAAAAGATTTGTCTCGTGGATTTCGTCTAAACTGTGTAATTAGTTTTATTTTTTATTTATATTTAATGCTTCATGCATGCGTCTAAAAATTTGATGTGACGAGGAATCTTGAAAAATTTGGTAAAATGAAGTGGAAGCCCTGGTCCCCGTCGCCGGCCCCGTCCCGTGATGCTACGCTTCTGCATGCGTCGCGTCGAACTGCCGTGATGCCGCCTCGGTGAGCTCTGTCGTGCACCCTCGGAAGGGACCGGTGCGCGGGTGTTGTTGGTTGGGTGCAGTTTGGACTCCGCGGCCGCGTTCGCTTTGCTCGAAAACTAGACAAAATATTATTGCGAAAGAAAAACACTATTTCAATTAAAAAAATAAGCTGAAAAAAGATAAATTATAAGAGAAGCGAATTGAGCCCGCGTGTGGATTCTCTCTTTCCTCTAAACAAAGTAGTGGATGGATGTTTCGTTTTTGCGTAAGTTTGACGCCATACCATTTCAGAGGCAGTGTGATGAGTTGGCGTTTCCACTTGGGAGAAGATGCGGCCAAGAACTCCTGCACTTGGAAACAGAACCAGAGGAGTTTTCTTTTATATAGCATTTGATTTGATGAGAGAACGTGGTATGCTGCATGGGCCACAATTTCGCATGTTTTGCAAGTAGTATGATATTATTAGTGCATAGTATTATGAGGAAACACATTGACTATGGTTGTACCGTGTACTAGTGAACTTTCCAGACCGGGATAAGATAAAAGATTGAAAGCGATCACGTACACTAAATTTTCTCAAGGCACTAGTAGTGCGGATGGAATATATAGGTGCTGCTGGAAACCTGCATAGTACCCTTGTATTGTATATTCTAATTCTACCCGATCATGGACCGGAAAGTTTGAGACTCCCCAAGAATGATGATGCAAAGACTGAAAGACACTGAGTGGGTGCCGCCCCATTAGCCTGGCATACAGCATGCCAAATTAATTTATAAACTGGTTTCGAACATATTGGCAACCACCTTGACCAACTTGTTTCAAGAAGCCAGATTGCTTCCATCAGGAAACAGAGCATCAGAGTAATAAATAGTGTTCATAGCGCCTGCAAGAGCGGCCGCTATTGGTAGACCGCTATTTATTATGAGAATAGTAATAACGTGGATGGTTTTAATAGCAATAAGAATGTTGAGAATGGTGATTTGGATGATAATAAAGAATAATAAGATGACAAATGATATACTTTTCAATTTGTTATGAGAACTTGATGTTAATTTATCTACACGTGTCTTCTTTGTATCTTATTCATTTATGTTTATTTATGGTTTTCATAATGTAAAATGTAATAATATATTATCTTTTCTTTGTTCAGCATAGGGTGTATAATTAATGTCACCAGACAGCACAAAGTTTCAAGGAGAAATAAGATTGAAAGTTCTTTAAAAAAATAAATAAGATTGAAAGAAAACACGTAACCAAATTAAAAATTATTCTTCATATCTATCTGTCACTTTTGTATTTGGCAACAAAATAAGGTTTCATGTTTGCTTTGGAGGTCTAAAAGTTACCATGTTAATAATCGTATAAAAATAAAAAAAAATATCCAACATCGCCATTACAATAGATTTAGGCCTAAAGACCTATTATAAGTTACCCACAATTACCATTATGAAAAGATTAAACCAAAATACACATATAAGTATTTAAGAATTACATAATGTTGGCATTATGGTTAGTACAAAATACTCATATATCTATTCATAAACAACCAACCATTGACATTAAAAATAACTAAAAATACCCCCCCCAATATGATTCTCTATTATCCACCTCAACCACTATAATAAAGAAAAGAAGGCAAACACATTTTTTTGAAAAAAAATAAAGGTAGCACAATTTTGTCAATACATAAGCTCATTGCACACTATGTGATCAAAGTTGCAATTCACCCATATCATGCACATAAGCTTAGTATTTTTATGTCTTTATATCTTTCCATTTCTCCTTGAGTTGTACAATAGGTTTACCCGTCCATCTCGGCTCTCTACTTTCAAACATATCACGCAACTCCTGTGTCGTGTTTGTTTCTAGAAGTTGTGGAATTGGAAAGGTGACAATGAAAGCTACATGTACACAATTTGGTAGAATGTGATGTCGCTACTACATAAATATAGTTATTTAATTGACATAGCAAAATAAAATATAAGAGTCAAGTATAATCTATGATATAGATCAAAGTGGAGATATATTTCCCAAGCAAATGAAAATGTTATCATGGTAAGCCTGGATTTAAGTTGTCTATTAAGACAAGATATAATTGTGATAAAGAGAAGACCAACGATTACAAACTTGTGATAAAATCATGATGATACTTGATACTTATGTGACATTGTTATTTGGACCGGACTGGACCAGCGGTCCGACCGGTAAAAGACCGAACTAGAGCCTCGGCCAGTCCGATCCACCTTAAAGGACCGGTAAGTAATTGAACCGGTGTAAAACCAGTGAACCGGCGGTTTTCCCTAGAAACCGGTATAAAACCGGACACTGGACCGTGAAAAAACGGGGAGCCAACAACCGTGCGTGGGATTCCAACGTGGGAATGGGGAGGAAAGGAGAGGAGAGGAGAGAAATGAGGGGAAATTGTAAAATTATGTAAAAAGGGGGCAGCAGGGAGTCAAACTCTGGTCTGCAGGGTCAAAGAGCAAGTTCTCCACCACTGAGCCACGACTTCAATTGTGTTCTTGTATCAGTCTTCATTCTATTTGAACCGGGTTAAACTGGCGGTTCAACCGGTTGGACCAATCAAACCGTGAATCGAGGCCTTAAGCGGTTCGACGGTCCGATCCTAATAACTATGCTTATGTCTATTAAGACATGTTATAAATGATAAAATCAGGATGATACATGATAAGATCAAGATGATATTATGCTACACTCAAACTTAGATTATTGCTACTAGCTATCTCATCTTCTCTTCATGACATCTAAGATCTTGTTTGAATCCCTTCAATTAACCTTTAGTCCAGTCAGCTAAAAAAACAAGCTAACAACTAATTGTTAGTTTGGTGGTAGGAAAGATATTAGTTAGAATATTAGCTAAATATTTCACTTAAGGCCTGCTTGGTTCCATTCAGTCCCTGGACTAAAGTTTAGTCCAGGCCCTACTTGTTTAGATCCAGGGACTAATGACCATTAAAGCTAATCGCCATGTTCGCTTGAACTTATCTCACAACATTTCAGCATAAGCATAAGCTAAATTTTAGCATAAGCGAACAGGCTGAATATACAAAGACCAAAATGTCCTTCTTCTTCTTCTCTCTCCCTTCTCTGTGCATTAATGAGGGGCAGGGGGTGTCTTTTAGCTGGTTTAGTTCCCTTTAGTCACCCTCAGAACTAGAGGACTAAACTAGTTTAGTCACTTTTTAGTCATCTTGTTTAGCAATTTATTGACTAAAAGAGACCAAAACCTTTAGTCACATGGACCAAACAGGGCCTTAATTTTACTAAGTAAATCCTCCTTTATGAACAATCCGGGATAATGGAGAATCCCATGCGCATTTTTTCCCACATCCACATATCATTTCTCCCACCGTTCATACCTTTGACCAGAATAAGTAATCACTGTTCTTTTCACATTTCCAAAATGCCAGCAAAACTCAAATACTACCGTCCACATACAGTGACACACAGACGCCCACAGAAAAGTCCGGGTTGATGCCAGCATCTTCCACAGTTCCACCGCGACACGGAGCACGATCGGAGCGCGGATATTTTTGACGCGCGCACGGCCGCACGCGCACCAACGTAAACACCGTGTGTGACCGAAGCCGTCGCGCCCGGCCGGCGCGTGCTAGTGGTGTACAGTATACTGGTAGGTCTTGGTGGTGTAGTAGGAACGGCGCCTGGCGCACCCGACGCGAGCCGACCCGGCCGGCCGCGCGCTGGAGGCTGGCGCCCGTGCTCGCGCCGTCCCGCCCGCCCACAACTTGCCACAGCTCCCCGTGTCGCGCACAGCCCCCGCGCCCTCCTCCCCAACCCCGTGCTGACAGCTCATTGGCCTCCCCGCCTGCAGCCAGCGGCCAGCCCCCCTTTTTATCAACACAGCCCGCCGAAGTGGCCTCGCCAGTTGGACGCTACTAGTACGGTGCCAAACAGCCCAGCCGAGCAGAGCAGAGGGCGAAGTGCAGTGCGGTGCAGTGTGACCCGTCTCGTCTCCGATCGGAACAGCCGCGGACCACCAGAGCGTGGCGTCCTTGCCCCACCCCTCCCTCTCTCTCTCTATCCATGGCGGTCCCCCGCGGGCGCCTCCCCCTGGTCGCCGCCGTCGCCGTGTTCCTCGCGTTCCTCTGCTGCCGCGGCGAGGCGGCGGCGAGGGAGCTCAAGGTCGGGTACTACGCCGAGACGTGCCCGGAGGCCGAGGACATCGTCCGCGAGACCATGGCGCGCGCGCGCGCGCGCGAGGCCCGCAGCGTCGCCTCCGTCATGCGCCTCCAGTTCCACGACTGCTTCGTCAACGTGAGCCCGGCCCACGCATCTCATCTCGCTCCGGTTGCCCTACTACGTGGCTTTCCTTCCTCCGTTTGCAGTCGATCTGACGCGATGGCTTCTCTCTGTTTTTCCTTCCCGCTGGTGGCGGGGCCGGGGCGGCTGCAGGGGTGCGACGGCTCGGTGCTGATGGACGCCACGACGACGATGCCCGGCGAGAAGGACGCGCTGTCCAACATCGACTCCCTGCGCTCGTTCGAGGTCGTCGACAAGATCAAGGAGGCGCTGGAGGAGCGCTGCCCCGGCGTGGTCTCCTGCGCCGACATCGTCATCATGGCCGCCCGCGACGCCGTCGTCCTGGTACGCACCTCCCCCCGCACCCTGCAGAGATCCATTGCTCTGTTCACTTCGCCGGATATATGCGATGCCGATGCGCATGCCGTTCCTCAATCTCTTACTGCGGCCTGCCGTTTGCCGTGCGAAACCCAGCGTTTCGCTTCCGCTGTCTGCCGTTTCCGGTTCAAATCCGCGTCCCCTTTGTCTGCCGGTTGCACTCCAGAATCCAGCGTTTCGCTGCCTGGCGTTTCCAGTGCAGAACTCTGCGTTGATCGTGTTCCCGCAGCATTCAGTTTCAGGATCCACCGCGAATAAGAGACAAGAGAATAAATATCAATTAGGAAAGTTTTTTCACGATTTGGTTTTACCACCACGGCAGCGCTGCGCGCACGGGTGCTTCGTGCCGTGCTGCTCGACAACCAAACCAAGGCGGCGTGTGCCGCACAAGGCCTGTGCACCATTTAGCCTCGCATCGCGTTCCTCGGAACGCCTTTCGTGCCACTAGTCTCGCGTCGCGTTCGGCTTCCAAGTCCTGGGTAACGTTTAAGTGCGTACAAAATGGGCATTCGAGGATTGTCCGCAAGTAATCGTTGGTGCCACCCATCACTTTGCGTGTGGGCACCACGAGTCCACGACCAAGCATGCATCGTTCCGTTTTACTACAGTACAATCTTTATCAATCTACAGTGTGCTCCTACTAGTTTTTATAGGAAAAATCAATTGATGCTTTCAAAATTTACACCAAAAACATTTGATGTGCAAATTGGCGGACCGGTTCACAATCATTTGCCTAGCACTGACCATGTTGCCTGGCGATGCATGTCCCCGTTTGTTTGGTTTATAAGCCGTATTTTTTTAGCTAACAAATATTATTTTTCTCTCACAATAAATCAGTCAATAGTACTTTCAACCCTAAGTTATCCGTCAAACGAACCGGGCATGGACGGTGCACATCCCAGCTAGGTGTGCACCCTGTAACGGCCGCGGCGGCGGCGGGCATGAGGCGCACATGCAGGACTGGCATCACGCGCCTACCCGTCTCCACTCGTGTCGCGTGCACCTCACACCACCTCCCTCCCTCACGGAAATTGGCAGACTGCAGACAGGGAGAGCGCCAGCGACCCAGCCGGCCAGACCAGACCAGGTGCACCAAACCAGCCGGGAAAGGCCAGGCTCGACCCGCCGCGCGCACGACACGAGAGTGCTGCTAGGCTTCGGTGTTTAGCGCGGACAGCCCGTACCGGGCCCCGCGGGTGCGGACACTGGCGCCGCGAATGGCAAAGCTGCCGGCCCTTCCGTCGCCGAGGTGGGGATTCTGTTTCTCCCAGATTGGGCGATGATGATGGGGACGAGATTTCCCGTGGAACAGAGTACTTTTCGCGTGCTTTCCCTTGGTCCTCATCACGAAGGTTCGAATCGCGCCGTGGAAACAAGCGACGATGCCCATGCGCCCATGCCCCTTGTGGCTCCCAGGCTGGGACGCTGGGTGTACTACGACTTGCTCTTCTTGTTCCCTTGGCAAGTAGACAGTCGACAGGTGGTTCAACGGGATTGATTGGCGCAGGAGATATCATAGTATAGGAGTACTACTACACGTAACGTACGTAATAGTAGCACAAAACCTGTCGATGTTCCTTGGAATGAAATGTATAATGTACTGTACTTGCAACTGAAACATTGGTCCATGAGTACTCTTGGTTAATCAAATTTTCCCATAAACGTACTTACGTCTCTTTTTTTTTGAGAAAAATGGTCGTAGTATACTACTTAGCTTAATGTTGTTTGGGTGTGGCACGCTGTGGGCCCGTAAGCTCCCGGTAGCCGTGCATTTTTAGGGGTCGTTTGGATCTTTTATGTGAAGGAATTAAAATCTACTTAATAAATTAGGCTATTTGACTTGAAATTTAACATTGCGCCACTTTTTAAAGTTTACATATAAGTATATTTCAAATTCATAGGGTGGGAGATGGAAATTGATTCTATAAATCAGCATTCTATGTTTTTATTTTAGAATTTATAACACGCTCTTCAGTTCTGTCTCTTATGGTAGAAATGCAACACATAAATATCTCACTTGTATAGCCAACAATAATAAATAAATATAATCTATATACAACCATATTAGCTTAATTAATATATGTCTAAATTATGATTGTTAAAATGAATTCAATTCCAAGGATCAAACGGGCCTTATTTTGTTTTGATTTTTTTTGAGACAAACAAAAGCAAGATCATAAGAATGCTGCGTCATGCCGCCATTCACCACCATTACTGTCGGTAAATAGTTTGCACTGGCTTACTAATATATAATGTTGGACCTTACTCCCTCCATCCAAAAAGATTGGAAATCTCAATAAATAAAACAATCTTAAATCTAACTAAGTTTATAAAAGATAAGAGATATTAATATTATATCTTCAAATAGATTTATTATAAAAAAATTGTGAATAATCTAGTACTAGTTATTGCTCATTATAAATATTAATATTCTTTATATGTGTATTCAAACTGAGACTGTTGGGTCAGGTCGTTTGACTTCATCTGACTCTTCCATTTGTTTTGATCTGTCGCCACAGACCGGTGGGCCCAACTGGGAGGTGCGGCTCGGGCGCGACGACAGCCTGACGGCGAGCCAGGAGGACTCGGACAACATCATGCCGAGCCCGCGCGCCAACGCGAGCAAGCTCATCCGCCTCTTCGCGGGGCTCAACCTCAGCGTCACCGACCTCGTCGCGCTCTCGGGCTCGCACTCCATCGGCGAGGCCCGCTGCTTCTCCATCGTCTTCCGCCTCTACAACCAGTCCGGATCCGGCCGCCCCGACCCCCACATGGACGCCGCCTACCGCCGCGCGCTCGACGCGCTCTGCCCCAAGGGCGGCGACGAGGAGGTCACGGGAGGCCTGGACGCCACCCCGCGCGTCTTCGATAACCAGTACTTCAAGGACCTCGTCGCGCTCCGCGGCTTCCTCAACTCCGACCAGACGCTCTTCTCTGACAACGCCAGGACCCGCCGCGTCGTCAAGCGGTTCAGCAAGGACCGGGACGCCTTCTTCAGGGCCTTCATCGAGGGGATGATCAAGATGGGGGAGCTGCAAAACCCCAGGAAAGGGGAGATACGGCGCAACTGCCGCGTTGCTAACTGCTCGCCGGTGGCGTCCCGAGTCGTCGACATCTGAGCTCCGGTGAGGGTGGTGATTCAGAAGAGACGAGCCCTGATATATGGTACTAATATGTTGACATGCATTGTTTGTAACAGTGTAAGTTTTGCACCTACCTATGGTCGTGGTGCCTGAGCTGCGCTCATTGCTGATAGTGGGAAATAATTGAGACATTGCCTATAATATGATGACGGTAGCTTAGCCAGAAGTTACATCATGTGTTTAGCTTATTCTGCTGATCAATTTGATTAAAACACAAGGCACGAGCACGGTTGCATACAGTAATCCTATTGGTATAACTCTTGGAAACAAAATGATATATATAAGTATAAACAGGAAATGTTTGAAGTATGGCAAACTCTAGCAACGAACCAAACAAGCGCATAAGAAAGGAGTAAAGCTTACTTGATTTTTTTTGTCCAGTCAAAAAGTGTCACGTGTTCTTCTTTCCCAACTCCAGTGGGCTTAGAAGGATTGCTATGGGAGAAGGTTGGCTCGGCGATGGTGGTGGGCGTAGGGGTGGCCTAGGGCGAGGCAATGGTGGCACTGCCGGCCGGGCAGTTGGGGAAGGCGGTTGGGTGGAGCAAGGGCGGGGGCATGACGGAGATAGCCTAGCGACCTCCACCAGGTTAGCATGGCGGCGGTTGTAGGCGGCAGCGAAGGTTGTGAGGTGCCACCGGAGCCGGGCGGACATGATGGTGGCGGGTGAGCTCCGAAGAAGATGGAGGAGAGGAGACATCCTATGGATCTTAGAGTCGGGTCATGGTCGAGGGCGACGGATTCGGAGGCGGGGGAGCCACCGGAACCGGGCTAGTAGGAGGCGGAGGCGAAGGCAGCGGGGCAAGCGACTCGTTCGAGACTCGAGACCGAGGTTGGGTACAGGCACGTGGAGGAAGAAGAAATGGAAAAGATTAAGTGAAGAGAGGAGATTTGATCTAGACCCTCCATTTTATATCTAATAAGACTAAAAAAAGAAGTGATGGTTATCCTTGGATCACCCAATTACTATCTAGACAGATTCAAACAAAGACAAATCTGAGAATGAACTGCGGAGTGGAAATGTATTTACAAGCAAAAGACACGACACACAATGTCACAATGCATTCTCCAGAGACACACAACTTGCACATTGCCACTTCAGAAAAACAGTGAGCTATCTAGTCATCATCATACAAGTCCATATCTACCGCGAGCTCGGGCCCTACGTATGGGGCGCTAACAACACGAAAATCCTCAGGCAGGCGTACCTCTTCCAGTACTGCAAAACCTGAACAGATTACAGATGGTATCATCGTCGTCACTTCTTTAGAGTCTTTGTACGGCTTAGCAAAACAGGAGGCGAAAGAAATCGTTACGGTATTATCGACATATATATAAAAAAGGGTCTGGCATACATGATACATATGCATGTAGGTGCGTACCTGGGAGAGCAGGAATAGGGGTGTCGCAGAAATAGGTGGACGGGCGCCCAAGGTCCTCCGCGTACGGCGGCGCGAGCACGTCGAGGAGAGCGCACGGCGTGACGGCAGTGAGGGCGTGGATGTTGCCGCCGCTCCGGGGGAACAGCACCGACGCCTTGCACGGCGCCTCCCGGAGCTCGTCCACCGCCACCACCTTGGCTAAACCGCCTGCATGCATGAACTCAACTTTTCAGTGTGCCTAGCCTAGCACTCAAGACTCAATCCATCTCTTTCACTTTATTTTTCTTTCTTTATTTATTCTACGCCCTGTCACCCTTATCCCAAAACAGGACGGACTTCTGGATTGAGCAGTGGAATTACCGTCACGTAATTTCTTTTCGTAGAATAATAACGTCAGATACACAGAATACTACTAGCCGTGCAGTTGTTTCGTGAGCTCGTAGCCGCAACCAGCAGGAGCGCCAGCTGCACAGCTCTGCATTTTTCCACAGCCCATGGCTTACGCCGTTTCATGTTGGGATCCCTTTCATGTTTCATGCCGAGTCACGAAAAACTTTGCAGGCTTGCGTAAGTATCCTGAGACTTTTATACCTGTCTTATATTATCGATATGTACAATGACAAACTCAATTGGCCAAGAGAAGCCAAATTCAAAGCGAGGCAGCACGCTAGCCTTACCCTTTCTTGGGCCGGAGCACGGCGCGGTGACCCAGTCGTACGAGCTGACGCGCATGGAG